GTTGTGTTTGCATGCTGTTTGGCACTTTTGTGTGTGTTGCTTTTGTTTTTTGCATTTTTGCAGTTTGTTGCATTTGTTTACATTTTTTGCAGGTTTTTGCACTTTGTTGGCACGTTTTGGCACTTTTTTGCATGTGTTTGCATGTGTTTGCATGTTTTTGCACTCTTTTGCATTTTTTTGCACATTAGATGCAACAATAAGATAATTTGAGATAATTTGAGATAATTTGAGGTAAGGTCTAAACCCCATGGATCTGGGACCCCTAATATAATCAATGACTTAATCAAGGAGTCACCACATTGTGTACATGGCTTGGATTTTAGTAAGTCAATGAACGCCTCTTTATTGTTTTCTCGTTGTTCGAGGTGAAGCTTTAACACTTCAAAAAGTAAAGTGTGCAACGCCATGCCTCTACATTGTTCATTGCAGCGGTTTAGTCAAAAAAAAGCTGCGGAAGACGCTGAACAACCAGGGTCCCACTCTCCAAGATTTAGGGTTTTGGGGTTTAGGTTTAGGGTGTTTAAGGTTTACTTTCCGTAGCTGAGTTTGCAAGATGGGCTTCCATGACCATGGTCGGAACTTAGCCCTCCAAATTCCCAAACAACTGGTAGCTACTGCCCGGGGGTGAAAACACTTGCTTGAACGGGACTGCCGACTCACATGGCGAAGGAGGTAAGTAGCCCGCCGCAAGGGGCAGAGTGGGCTGACACGCTTCGTTCAGCGCCTCCGCGCTTCACTCACTCAGCGCAGACAAAGCCACGTACTTGAACGGGACTGCCACTTCCTGCTTGGTGCTGGCCCTGCCTTTGCCTAGTGAACATCCTGTGAACATGGAACTCCAAGAAACGTCGCAACCACATCCTCCAGGCGTCTGCCCGGGCATTCACTCGGCATCCGGAGCCTTCCCCTCTCTTTGCCTTTGCCGTCCTGCTGTCCTTTCCCCTTGGACTTCCCCTTAAGCTCTGGTTTTGGGACCTTTATCCAAGCATATTTGCACCGGGTCGAGATTTAATTTGGGATTTCTGTTTTATTTTGGGATTTTTTGTTTTCTGTCCTGGCCACTAAAATGCTGTAATTTACAGCATTTTCTCGCGAAATGTACGTATGTTACGCGTCCGTCAACATCATCAGCATCGTTTTCAACATCCCCCGCATGTCCAGCCAACATCGCCAGCATCACCAGCAAATTGGCTTCCCGCATCGTGGTAAAAGTGAGGATTCAATTAAAGGCGCAGGGAGGTTGGGGAGGGCGGCAGCCCCCCTTGGTGGGGGCGGCAGCCCCCCCATGATGATCGAAAAATTAGGAGCGAAGAATCTAAAAAGTAACGGTCGCATGATGATCGAAAAAGTGATGATTCAATTAGGGGCAAACATAGCGAAAAAAGTGATGATTCAATGGGCCAAAAATATACAACACAAAAAGCAGCGGGGGGGGGGGGGCATCAGTGCCCTGCTGCGCCAAAGGCCGGGGCAACGGCAAGCAAAAAGTCTAAACAGCGGGGGGGTGGGGGGGATGTGGGGGGCCGGCCAGCCCCCCCCCATGATGATCGAAAAAGTGATGGATTCAATCAGGGCAAAAGTCCGGCAGCCCCCCCCAGGGGGGGTGGGGGGGGGGGGGGCGGCCCCCCACCCCCCCATGATGATCGAACAATTACGGGCAAAGACTCAAAAAAGTAGTGGTCGCATGATGATCGAAAAAGTGATGATTCAAATAGGGGCAACAAGTCAAAAAAATAGCGGCAGCCCCCCCCCCACGATGATTGAAAAAGAGATGATTCAATTAGGGCCAACAAAAATATTAAAAAGCAGCGGGGGGGTCATCAGTTCCTTTGCGGCAAGGCCTCATGGTACAAGCGAGGATTCAATCCCGGGCAAACTAATCCCTGTAAAACGGCAGCCAAAGAATCAAAAAAGCAGCTATCGCATGCTTATCGAAAAAGTGATGATGCAATTAGGCGTGTATTTTAACGGGGGGCACCAGAGAGGAACTTGCGATGCTGAGGATGCAGGAAGCCAAGGCCACAAACCAACTGGGAAAGGAGAGGATGCGAAAAGCCAAAGCCAGAAAGCCGCCAAAAGCCACAAAGCCAAAAAGCCAGCGGAACTGGCAATGCAGAGGATGCGAAAGAGAGGAACTGTGAATGCAGAGGATGCGAAATGAAAAGCCACAAAAGCCACAAAAACCCACGCGAAAGCCACAAAAGCCAAAAAGCCGAAAAGCCGCCCGCCCTGAAAAGCAAAAATAATTCCTGAAAAAAACGAAAAAATCATTAAAAAAACTGCCCCTCCTATTTGCACCTTGGAATCGTTCTCACCCGCCAGCTTCGACAAGATGAAAAGCATCCAGTTAAGGCTCTTACGTACCTGTTCCGTAGCGGCTCGGATGGCTCTCCCTGGACCAGCTGTATATTGAAAGCATTCCCTGGCCGCAGGCGCCGGCTGCGGTCGACAAATTCTGCGCCTTGGCTGCGCTTCATCGATTTCTCGACCCAGAGCTTTGCATATTTCCTGAGTGATGGCCGCGGCACACTCAGACCGCGCCAGCTCACCGCTCGCCACACGGCCCAGGCCATCCGGCAGTCTCTGGCTTCCGGCCACGCGAACCCGTACGCGCACTCCATTTCCACTCTCCATTCCACTCCGTCCACCCGCCCTTCAAGTGCCGGCACGCGCGACTCCACATCGGACGGCCGGCGGTCCAACTCGTCCATGGCGTCACGAACACCGCGCAGAAGCAGGCAAGTGTCTTGGAGCCGACCGTTGCTGCGATCTGAGCAGTCGACAACCCGACCGAACATGTGTAATGATCTAAGCCCCAGTCCGCTTCTGAGGGAATTTGCCGACAAGACCATCCCGGGGAGCTTCTTCCGAGTGTGTGTAACGCTCATGATTTTCCTAGCCCCCAAAACCTTGCCGGTGTGTGCGGTTGGCGTCTTTTCGGGCCCCTGCACTCAGGCTCATGCCGCGGAAGATCGCAGTTGCGAAATGATTGGCGGCAGTGCCGGCGTTCCACGATGGGCGTCTTCCTGGGGGTCTTGCCGGCGCCGCGTCTCCGTCATTGTTATTTCTACGCCGTCGACGCCGGGCCCGCCGGGGCCTGCCCCATGGGCTCTTCCGGGCGATCTACCCATGCTTGGGCGTGCGGCAAGATTTGCGAAGTAACGCGATGTTCTTTCTGCCCAGAATATCTTAGGATCCCCGTTTCAACCCGCCTCACACTGAATTAATATTTGCCTCGTAAGACGAGCTCTAAAGGAAGCTCGCTTTAGCTTTCTCAAAAAGCGATGCTTCAAAGGGTGAATGGGCTAAAAGAAGCAAAAGGAGGACAAATGGGTTTGTATTTTTTTAGGGTGGCCGGGCAGGAAGGTTTGAGTACGGGGTATGATTCGCAGGTATGATTCGCGGGTATGATTCGGGGTATGATTCGGGGGTATGATTCGCGGAAGCAGCAGCAGCAGTAGTAGTAGTAGCAGTTCGCAGAAGTAGTAGTACTAGTAGTAATATTGTAGTAGTAGTAGTAGTAGTAGTAGTAGTAGTAGTAGTAGTAATAGTAGTAGTAGTAGTAACAATAGAAGCAGCGACTGTAGTGGCGCGGAAGCTTTGAAAAGACTTGGCGCTGGCCTTGGCAAGGCCAGTTCATTGCGCGGGTATGATTCGGGTATGATTCGCGGGTATGATTCGGCTAGGTGCAAAACGGCACTGATTACAAACTCGTAGAAGCTGTGGTAGTAGTAGTAGTAGTGGCAGTAGTAGTGGTAGTCGTAGTAGAAGTTGCAGAAGTAGTGGTAGCAGCTGTAGAGTGGCAGTAGTAGTGGTAGTCGTAGTAGAAGTTGCAGAAGTAGTGGTAGCAGCTGTAGCATAAGCAGCAGCGGCTGTAGTGGTGCGGACGCTGTGAAAAAGACTTAGCACTAGCCTTGGCAGGGGAAGCTCATTGTCCGGGTATGATTCGGGTATGATTCGGGTATGATTCGCGGGTATGATTCGGCTAGGTGCAAAACGGCACTGATTACACACTCAGAATGATGTATGTGGTAGTAGTGAGTAGTAGCAGCAGCAGCAGAAGCAGGAATAGTAGTAGTAGTAGTAGTAGTAGTAGTAGTAGTAGTAGTAGTAGTAGTAGTAGTAGTAGTAGTAGTAGTAGTAGTAGTAGTAGTAGTAGTAGTAGTAGTAGTAGTAAAAGTAGAAGTAGTAGTAGTAGTAGTAGTAGTAGTAGTAGTAGTAGTAGTAGTAGTCAAGGTTGTAGTCGTAGTAGTAGTTGTAGCAGTAATAAAGGTAGTAGTCGTAGTAGTAGTAGTAGTAGTAGTCAAGGTTGTAGTCGCAGTAGTTAGTAGTAAGGGTAACAGAAGCAGAAGTAGAAGCAGCAGTAATACTCGTAGTCGCGGTAGTAGCAGTAGTAGTAGTAGTAGTAGTAGTAGTAGTAGTGGTAGTAGCAGTAGTAGTACTAATTGAAGTAGTAGTTGAAGTAGTAGTAGTAGTAGTAGTAGTAGTAGTAGTATTAGTAGTAGTAGTAGTAGTAGTGGCAGTGGTAGTGGTAGTATTGGGTAGCGCTGGTGGTGGTTGTTGTGGAGACAGTGAACAACACAAAACGGTAGAAGAACAGTAGCATCTTGCAGCATACGTTTTAAGGGGTATGATTCGGGGGTATGAGTCGGGGTATGATTCGGGGGTATGATTCGGGGGTATGATTCGGGGAGGTCCCACCTTCTGCCTTTTGAAGCAACTCAACACACCAAAAAAAGACAAACCCAAATGTATGTCAAAACCACCAAACATGATCTTGCGCTGCAGCATCCCCACCACACCTGATCTCCATCCTCCATTTCTGTGAAGTGACTTGGCTTGATGGCGTTGGGTTTAGGGTTGATCCCCTTGGCCCAACTCTGATGACGGTCCACCAAGAATAGGATGTGTATATTTATCTGCTTCATATCTACGTCGCAAAATATCACAAACACTTAGACGTCCAGAATTCCCACTAAGTCAGACACTGAGGCTCCGGCGGGCCTTGGGAATACCAGAGCCAGCGGGGCGAGTGGGGCTATGTGTCGGCCTTGGCTAAAGCCATGCTGAGGGCCGACCTTCTAGAGACCATGGGCTTGGAAACCATGTTTTCATTGGGTTCGAACCCAACAAACAAAAAGGGGTCTCAAATTCGTTCCAGGCATCCGCTTTTTCCGGTTTGGCAGATGGGCTTCCCAAACCGCCTGCCAAATGATGGGCTTCCAGTTATATATATGGGAACCGCCACCAACATGATCCAAACAAAACAGTGACTGAAGGGAATCGAAAGCCAACAAAAAATTAGAGGGCTGCTAAAACGGCAATGAATTCTCAGGTGTCCTGTTGAAATAAGATGGGTGCTACTGATTACATGAAAAAGAAACCCAAGTGAATCCTGTGGACGCCGTTCTCAACTGACCTAAAATGAACACCTATGAAGGGGCCGCCTTACCCACAAGTCCCATTTCACTCCTTTTGGGCTGGCTCACTCTTGGAGCTAGAACACCTACAGCCCCAATTCCGTGAGACAACCAAAGCGACAGGTCCAAAAAAGGCAAAACAGATGGAGTCTTCCCATGAGCCATGAGGTTGCCAGTCTTGTTTGGTGAGATCAGTGCGGTTCACGTGTTCAGTGGGAGAAAGGAGACACGTGTCTAGTTTTCCCATGCAGTGCGCTCTTGCAACCACACAGTTGGTTCTGACATCATGGCCTCATAAACCTTGGTGAGATGTTCTACATGGTGAAGTGTTCCCAATCTTGGGTGAACACTGGTAACAGAAACGATCAGGCGTCCTGAACCTTCAAGACTCGGCCTGCTCTTGATGAGAAACTGACATGTCGCACTTGGTGAGAGTCCGAACTTGGTGAGAAACCGAAATGCCACTCACCATTCCTGACACGTTGTCAGAGTTCACACAGCATAAACATTTGGTAAGATCTACTTCGCTTGGTCAGATTGTCAGGTTTCCCAAACACTCCCGTTGCCGCGACCCTTCACTCCGCGCGGCCAGCGCACAGTGCGCACGGCGCCATGCGCCGCGCGGGCGGCGGTGTGGACCGGAGCTGCCGCTTTCGTGCTCGGCGCTTCCGCGGGCGATCGTCGCTCCTCCCCGATCTGAATTTATCGCAGAGTTTTAGCGGGTTAAGAAAGTTTGCGCCGTGAAACACCCCAACAAAGCCTCCAGCACACAAACCATGGCCCAATAGATGTTCAAACGACCTGAAATGGACATTTGAGGACCCTGCTTGAAGCAAACCAAGGAGCCCAACATTTTGGGTCTTTAATTTTAGGCACTGTTATCTACAATGTTCTAGTGTTTGATTCCATAGCCATTGCTGTTCAATGTTGCTCTTTTGAAGCAGCCACTGTTTGCGCCCACAACCCGCTGGGTTGGCCCCATTTGAAATTTGTCCACGGATGACCGACCTTCCATCGGTTCATGGGAACATCAGCAACACATCCACCAAGCATTACTCTCATGCAAGTTGACCTGGAACCTAACAACCCTGCTCCTTCTGGGAAACCTCCTTGTGGGTTCCATATTTGCAGGGGAGTAAACGGTTCCGCCCATCGCAGAAACGGCAAGTTTTCCCAGAGTTTAGGCCCGCTTTCTGAAGTGAAAAGAACGGGGATGGCCCCAATTCGTTGAAGACTGTCCAAAATGGTTTGCTTTTGCCTTGGGCAACAATAGGGAACCATACTTTGGCGGGATTTTGGCTTCTGGCCACGTTCGCAAATCATTGGGAGCTCCCATGGCTCTGTTTCA